ATGGTGACATAGCAATAAGCTCCAAAGGGCGTAATGAATGAAGTCTTCAAGCAGTCGGATTCCTTCAGTCGGATCTGATGATACCCTGAGTAGCAATCCAGAAAACTGAGAAGCTCACAGTCGGCGGTTGAGTCAACTACCTGGTCAATGCGAGGCAACCCAAAAGGATCTTTGGGACAAGACTTGTTGAGGTCGGTATAATCAACACACATGCGCCATTGCCCTGTTTTCTTCCGAACTAGAACCGGGTTTGCCAGCCAGTCGGGATGAAGGACTTCTTTGATGAAGCCTGCTGCTAACAGCTTGGTTAATTCCTCCTTGATCGCGTCCTTCCTGTCTTGTGCGAATCGGCGGAGTCGTTGTTTGATAGGCTTGGCATCTTCTTTGACATGTAAGGAGTGCTCAATCACCTCTCTAGGAATACCGGGCATATCAGATGGTTTCCACGCAAAGATATCTTTATTGTTCTGAAGAAAGGTGATGAGCGCGCTTTCCTATTTACAATCTAACTCGGCGCCTATTACAGCAGTTTTAGTAGGATCAGAGGGATCTAGGGGAATCTTCTTAGTCTTGGCTTCGCTTTCTCCACTCTTTGAAATCTTGGTAGCGGGCACTTCTCCTTCGCTCGCCGTGGCTGCAGCCAGTCGGATATCCTCTCGGGCGGACGCCATCTCGCGGGTTTGAGCCATGTCGCAACTCTCCTTGTTGCATGTGACGGCTTGCTTGATGTCACTCCGTAGGGATAGGACTCCTCGGGGACCAGACATCTTCATCATCATGTAAGTGTAGTGCGGGACGGCCATGAACTTGGCTAACGCCGGGCGTCCGAGTATGGCATGGTATGCTGTCTCGAAATCGGCGACTTCGAAGCTGATGTTCTCTGTGCGAAAGTTTTCCCGAGTACCAAAAGTGACCGGGAGGGTGATCTGGCCGAGTGGAGTTGCGGATAGTCCTGGAATTACTCCGTGAAAAGGCGCATTGCTTGGTTTTAGCTCGGAGCGAGGAATCTGCATATCATCCAAGGTCTTGGCGAAGAGGATATTGAGTGCACTGCCACCGTCGATGAGAGTTCTGCGAAGCTTGACATTACGGACCACTGGGTCTAGTACCAGGGGGTACCGCCCCGGGTGGACCACTCGGTCAGGATGATCCGAGCGGTCAAACTTGATTGCAATCTCTGACCATCGAAGATACTGGGGCGTGTCGGGCTGAACAGCATTGATCTCCCGTTCAGTCAACTTCTGCTTCCGTTTAGACTCATAAGCCAGGGGGCCGCCGAAGATATGGTTGAGCTCCTTGCGGTGATCTTGAAAACCTGCCGGGGTGTCGCCGTCATCCTTCTTCCTCGACGTGCTTTGTTCTTCGTCAGAGTTCTTTCGTGCAGTCTTGGTGTATTGATCCGCGAATTGCTTGTAGACGAAACAATCTTTGGCCACGTGGTTGGAGTTAGGATGGTGCGGGCATTGGGAGTTCATGATCTTGTCGAACGTGTTGACGCGCGAACGCTGTCGAGAAGAGTGACTGGCGGTTGCAACAAGTTCCGCAGGCTTACGCTTGCGGTCCTTATGATTGTTACTTCCACCTCCTCCCGTAGCCGGCGTACCCTTGTTTTGCTTCCAACTGGGACCCGACTGCTTTGATGCGGTGACGGCGTCTTCAGCTTTGGCGTACTCGTTGGCTTTTTCAAACATGAGCTTGACTGTCCTGGGAGGCTTACGCCCAAACTTGCCGACTAGTTCTTCGTGGCGAATCCCTTTGGTGAACGCGGCGATGATGACGTCGTCGGTGATGTCGGAGATCTTGTTACGTTGTTCAGAAAATCGCCGGATGTAATCTCGATGGGATTCTCCGGACTTCTGAATGACGTTGTAGAGATCATATTGTGTGCCGGGACGCTCGAAGGTGCCTTGGAAGTTGGCGATGAAGTGGTCGCGTAGTTCGGCCCAAGATCCAATTGTACCACGGGGCAATCCATGGAGCCAAGATCGGGCGGAATCCGCTAAAGCCACTGGTAAATAGTTCGCCATGGCCTTGTTGTCTCCTCCTGCTGCGCGGATTGCGAGACCGTAGACGGTAAGCCACGATTCGGGGTTAGTGGTGCCGTCATACTTCTCTATTCCAGTCGGTTTGAAGCCGGCTGGCCAATCCACTCGACGCAGGTCGTCGGTGAAGGCTGCTACTCCGTCAAGGTCGTCGTCGTGGCGGTCCGGCGAGTGATGGTAGCCTCGAGCTGCTCGGCGCTGTATGATTGTGTCGCGAAGATCGATGGGGCGGCGACGAGGTGGTGAGCGAGGCCGTTCCACTCGGCGCTCCCTATGAAGGTCGGGAGGTGAGTGAACAGACCGCTCGTCGTGACCCCTGCTCCTGCGGTTGGATCCTGCGCCGGTGATGCTGAGGCTTGGATGACGGTAGTCATGAGATCGGAAGTGGGGAACTCGGCTGCCAGTCGGCGTGTGGACGCTTTCGGAGTTAACTGGGACCGAAGCCGCAATCATGGTCTTCGTCTGGTTCAAGATGTTGACGACGTGGTCGGATCGATTGAGCTCGTTTTGGTTGAGGAGGGTGTCGAGAAGGGTGATCGCGGCAACCGCATTCTGTTGAGGGGTGCGGAAAACCGGTGTCCCTTCGACATCTTGCTGGCCGATGAGATCACGCGCTCGGCGCCCTGCTTCCAAAGCTCGCTGACGTCGATCCTCAGCCTCCTTCGCGGTCCGCTCACGGTCCTGCTGCTCACGCCGTAGCCGTTCTTGTTCTTGTGCTTGATGCTCCTCCTCCAGTCGGCAACGTTCTTCGGTCTCCCGGGCTTGGCGTTGCTCCTCCGTCTCATTATTGGCCATGAAAACGCCAAAGTAGAGAGGGGTGTAGTTGTCATCTAGGCTTCCGTCGAAGTCGTCGAAGTCGTTGTAGCGAGAACTAAATTCGTCGTACTCCACGATGTCAGTAGGACGTGAGTCGACGGTGGGAGAGCTGTTGTAGTCATCCAGCTGATCCGTCGAAACCGTGCCGAGTGGTTGGAGGATGACGCCGACTTCCCTGAAGCTAGGCGAAATCGGTGTTGAAGCCGACTTCCGCCTAGGCCTACGGGATGAAGACGCTGTCGTGGTGGAGACGGCCGCTAAATCGTCGGGGAGCTTCATCAGGACTGGTGGGTAAGCCCCATCATCTTGATCTGGTGTCGTTGGAGAAGATGCGATCTCGGCCGAGTGGTTTGAAGCCGACTCGGTTGAGATGGTCTTGAAGTAGCTTTCAGCCGCGTTCGGGAATCCAAACGGGACCGAAATCCGGTTCTCTCCCGACTGGTCTGATTCCGAGTCGAGGAGAGAAATCTTGCCGAAGTTGTTGGTGACGAAGTCGAGGCTGCCGAACCGAAACGTCTGCCCGGGCGGGAAGACGAGGTCGTCGATGCCGGAGATGGAACCCATTGCACTGATCGGCGAAAAGCTTGACGCTACCCCTACCTGGCGCGCCAACTGTCGAAACTAGATTTCGGCAATAATAAAAGGGGGTGGCTATCAAGCTGGAAAAGTGTATGGGTTTGGAGACAAAGGATTTATACAGGTTCAGGCCTTCTTATAAAAGAAGTAATACCCTACTCCTGTCCGGGGATGAATCCGCCGAGTGTATTATTGATTGTATGATTTAGAGAAAATCAACATCTGCCCCTAGAGGCACCCGGACCCCCCTTATATATAAGAAGGAGTCCGGATTACAAAAGATAATCTATGTCCCTAACGGAATACAGTCGTGACCGACTAAGTCTCAAGGTATTTCCTTGATATACAAGTTAGGAAACAAACCCAGGATACACATAAGATATTCTATCTATATTCGGTATCCTATATTCAGTCCAAATATCATCGCCGTGTAGATATGGGATATCCATAATCTCCACATGTGTGTCTTAAGGTTAATCTTGAGAGAGATAGAAAGAGACTTTACCGGCAGAACATACTACAACCATTTGTTTTAGTCAGAAGAGAAAAATGAACCGCACAACATTGTGCATCTGGAAATAGCCAAATTTCCAGTCCAGAAGCTCAATACGCCGCCATAATGTTGACAAACTAGCGCCTATCTATATACCGACCTATTATAGGCAATTTGCGTAATTTTTTGAACTGTTGGAAAAAAATAAAGGGTTGAATCCACTGGAAAATTCAGCAAGTTCGCTATCCTCATCTGGAAGCTGATCTGTAACCAGGAAAAATATTATTTCTTCAGTTACGTTCATCGGTTTATGCAATGGAAAAATGTGCCAAGTTTCTTCAACATTGTGCCTGATTTCTTCAAAAATGTATTAATTACTAATTAGTAGCAGAGCTACTGGGATGAACACGAAGAAAATGCGGATGAGGAGCAAACCGGATGAACATCCATGACGCCATGGACTCCTCTACGCTATAGCGATTAGCGATGACGAGGACACCGTGTGGGCGCTTCGCAACTTGCCGGAGATCCTACGGAGTTCGCCGCCGCGTGTTCTTGCGTCAACATCGCCGGAGAACGCAGCGGCCATCACGGCAGCGCCAGACGCGCCCGGCGCAAGGGAAAAACAAAGTACAGCAACGAACGGACCGATCAACTTCGAGTCCCAGCGAACGGTGCAGATTGGGCCGAACATCAATAGGAGGGACAAAATGGTCCGCTGCTTCTCGCCTTCTCGTGGGTTCAATTGGGCTGTGACGGGATGAATTCATACCGTGGACTCGATTTGCACCGGGTTTTCAAAGATAGGGAAGACGTTACACCGAGTATTGTGATTGAGGGGGCGATTCAATCAGGATTAAGAGTCAAGGGAAACAAAATAGACTTATTCATTTTTAGAGAATCTCTGGTTGTTGTTTTTTTCATAGGAAACAGTAGTGGTTTTGAAGCAGGAATTCGTTCACTTCATAAATCATTTCTTTTTATTGAATTTCGATTCTGTATGTACATATGAGCCAAGTCCACCTAAGCAGTGAACCATGAGACCTACGACTCTCAGATGATCATTTCTTCATCTAGAGCCTGCAAAATTGCAAAAACAACACCTAGTGAGTGAAAAATAAACATTGTATATTTTATACATTACACACGACTGACACGAGTATTTATATGTATATATGCAGAGTATGGTACGTACTGTTGGTAGTCGATGAGGACCTTGCCGGCGACGGGGTTGGCGATGGCGGCGAAGGCCTCCCTGGAGAGGTCGATGGTAGCGGTGCTGCCGGGGCAGCGGTCGACGATCTTGACGGTGATGGCGCCGCCGCGGCACGGGTTGGGCACGGCGTTGGTTGCCCGACGCACCGCACCGTGAACATCGTCCCGCAGATCTTGCCGCCGGCCCACAGCCCGTCGCTAGCCGCCGCGATCATCCTCCCGTTGTCCTGGTTTCCGTAGCACGCCGACGCTGCCAAAAATTAAGCAAGATGTCGGCAAAACGAATGTTAGATCTCACGAAAATTATAGGTGAATTTGGAGCTTCGGAAATGCGAAATGTGAAGATGTATTCGAGGTAAAGCTTAAGACTGAAGTGGTGTACGGTTGTAAGTGGTGTAGAAGGTCGCGGTGCCTTGGATGGCTTGCGACACTGACACGAGGCCGAGGAGCAGAGCGGCAGCGAGCAGGAATGCGATCTTTGCCATTGACTACTTGTGGTGTTTTGATTTGACAAAGGCAAGATTATTGCAGGTTGCAACTTCAGTTCTTGTCAGGACGAAAAATCTTTGACGGTAACAAATTTGTTCCAATACGGACAGTCGGACAGAAGAATTTATAGGAGAATAAGAGATACTAAATCTGTCTCTGGAGTAGTAAATAAAGGGAGTTAAGAGGTACCAAATTAAATCCGACCTTACGCTAATGTGGATATATACATCACTTTATCTTATCCTGGGAGACATATTAAAATGTGTGATTTGTTTAGAGAAAAAAACAAAAAAGTGGAAAAATTGTCCTGGTGTGGATAGAGGATCAGCATGATAAAGAGACTAAACTTACTACGTTGATTTAGCAACATAATGACGAGTCTTATAATTTCTCATACGATCGAATATAAGACTGACATTTGTTAATGATAAAATGTACATAAAATTTTATATATCTGTTTCTACCGATTTGTAAGTTAATATATGTTGAAAAATAAACTACGATAAAAACATCAAAATCAACTTAAAATTAAGTTTTAAAATGTAAATCTTATCTACGACTTATAAGAGGAGCAAACGATGAAGCCGTTAAACTCTCGGACAGTTCTACTTTTTTCCAACATGGACGGCTCTATCTCCTCAATGTTGCATTTGTTACAATTCTAAAGACTACTAAAATTGACTACACATTACGTAAGATTCGTTGAAATTGAGTAGTCCCATTTGGGAGCTTTTTTTAGTTTGAAAGACTGACAGGTGTTACATTTTAGTGAGCACAATAATAATAAAAAATTTTCTCATCAATACTCGATCATAATCCTTGAATATTCCCAACTATTTTTATGTACTATATCCAAATACAATCTCCGGGTCATTAAATCGTTGTAAAATGCCTAAGCAGAAGGTACACCATAAATGCACACCTATCTCTCCCTTCCCCAATCGCACACAACTCCAAAAAAAAACATATAATTGTTTACGCTGTAAATTATATTATATTATATTGTAAAATTTAAAATATTTGCATATGCAATTTTGCTAATCCATACAATATAATAAAAGTGAGATAAAAATAATTGATGACCTACTTAAAAAAGGAAATAGAAGAAACATAAAAAACCTTACATCTAAAAGAAACGAGATGTAGCAATCACACATGAAAAAAGTGTCTGGAATAAGGTAACAAAAAAGAGATTATCTAAAAAATTGCCGCAATTTTTTTATGGGAAAAAACTTTCAAATCTCTAAAGTACAATTGTAATATAGTTCCATATAACTATACTATAACTATAATATAATTTTATATAAGTATTAAAATAATATATGTAACTTTATTTATATCTAATTTATATAGAGATTATAATATAGTTACAATGTCTACCATTGTAGTTACACTATAACTATAATTAATATAGCTACATTTAAAAGTTTTTTGCCAAATTATAAAAAAAACTCGCGACATTTTTTAGCAATTTCCAAAAAAGAATATGGCATACCATATTTTTAACAGAAATATAGAAGTTTGAATTATTCAATAATCATTTACATAATACTTTGGAGCACTTGAGATCTCAAAGCTAAGCCACCTTTCATCTCGCTTGATGCATTTTCTCTGAATAGAACTCCAGCTGGGCGGCTGCAGTCCAGGCATGAGTCCACGAAGGATGCCTTTCATTAGCTTGTCACAGTCTTCTACCGACAGAGATTTGCTCTCCTCGTCAGACAGCCTCGGCAGCCGGCCGGCGGCGAGCTCCACCGCGACGTCCGTGAGACGGCCGACGCTCTCCACACAGACCTCGTCGGCGAAGCAGCATCTCCACTCGAACACGCGCAGCTTGGGCGCGCGCACGACGAGTACCGGGTGAAGAGGGCACGGAACCGCGGGAGCAGGTGGTAGGCGGCAGGGCTGGACGACGACATGGGCTCGGTCGGGCAGCGGCACGACACGCGGATCTCCCTCAGCTCGTCGGCGAGGACGGCGATCCCGGCCTTGGTGGTGGCGCTCATTAGGTGACGTCGGTGATGCGGAGGCGCTTGAGCCGCGGCATGGTGTCGGACGTGATGTCGATGCTGGCCGGGAGCGTGCAGTCGACGATGTGCAGCTCCTCCAGCGAAGGGAAGACGACGGTAGAGAGGAAATCGCTCGGGCGCAGCACCGTCAGGCCGTCCAACGCAAGCCACCGGAGGGAGGTGACGCCGGGGCCACGCACGCGTGGCGGCCTCACCGCGTACCAGTACAGGCCTAGCTCAAGCTCGGTGGTCGCCGGCGGCAGCTCGAGCGACCACACGCCGGCGTCCTCGTCAGGGAGTCCCCTCTTGCACTGGACGTGCAGCTCTAGCCTCGACGCGTTGGCCAGCGCGACGAACTCGTTCGCGTACCGGCACTCGAACGGGACGTCCTTCCGGTAACCAATGTGGAGCGTCTCGATGGTGTCGTGCAGGCCACCGTCGTCGTGACAGCGTTGGCGAAGCATGCGCTCCATGCTCTGCACGCGCGGTTCGCTCGACTCGCCTAGAGATGCAAGGTTGCCAAGTACCGACATACGAAACCGAACGTTTGGAAGCCGGGTGTGGAGATGTTGCCACCTCCGTGAAACCGCGGCAGTGCGCACGGCGTCGTGATAGGGGCACATGGATAGGATGTGCAGGAGGATGTCATCGGGGAGCTTGCTGATCAGATCCTCCTGTTTCTCAGTGACTTTCTTAGGCTCCGCTTGTGGCTTTGACACTTTTCCATTTCTTTTGTTCTGCCTCTTCTTTCCAGCCATGATGGGCGAGTCCTAATTTACCTCCTCACGCTGGAGTACGTGAAAGACCAACAACTGCACACCTTATTTATAGGGTGCACGTCTATTGTTTTCCGAATACATGTTGTACTTACTAGTACCTATTTTACCAAAACCGAACTGGATTCGGTACAGAGCTCTCAGGCTCTCACCCCGGCACGTACACTAAACGGAAAAGAACTCCAGCGCGGACACGGACTACACCATGTCCAAGTTGCACGCTGCACATGGCCTAATTAACCAGCCATGCAAGTCCACAGGCCAGTAATTAAGGTCAAACGAGTGATGGTCGATTTTAAACAAGAAGGAAAAATACCGGTTTTTGGGTGCCAGTACCGGTGTTTGAAGCAGCTATGCGCGTCACGACTCTCATGACGTGCCAGGGCGCCGCGACAGCGAAGAAAAAGGCTATTGGGCGATCGCGCGCGAGCGAGGGACGAGCGATCGGTCAGATTTGCTATTTCTATTTTCCACGTGAAACGTGTTGGCTGTTCCCTTGCCGTCATCAGCCCTTCTCAACGAATGAACAAGTATATGTGACCTTGCTTTATGGTCGGCTCGATCATTATTCATGCCTTGTTCGCAGTGTCTGAGATGGAAAGTGAATAGGTCTATTTTGTCTCCCTCATCTCTTGCTCTTGGTTAAATCGCATCCCTCAACCACAAAACCGCTTATAACACCTCCCACAATTTAAAAAACAGTGCAAATTGACACCTTAGGTGGTTTGGAAAGTAATTTTGCTAACGTGGTAGGTCGACTTAGTTTAAGTGTACTGACGTGGTAGCCTAGTCATCAAAGAAGTGAAAAGAGAAGTGGATCCTACATATAAATGACAATGATAAAAGAAAAAGGTAGGACCCACTTATCAACCTCCTTCTCCTTCTTCCTCTCTTCTATTTCTCTCGCGTTGCCGCGACGACGAGCATGAATTGTGACCACGGGAGAGGATCTTGGCAATGCAGCGGTAGTTCCCCTCCCTAGCACCAACGAGGTTCCCAACGGGATAAGACACCGGCGTCGTCTGCGGCGGCAAAGTTGCAAAGGAAGAGAAGCGGCGAGCAACTACGCGTGGGGAGGCGATCGAGTAGCGCCATGGGTGGAGGATGGCGAGCTTGATGTCCTTGGTGCGGAATACAATCTCGCTGTGGACCCGACTGACATCTGGGTCGTCAATGACGACTGAGGAGAGATCATGCATGTCACGTCAGTAAAACTGCTTTCAAAACCATCCAAGGAGTCCATTTGCACTGGTTTTAAAAAATTATGGGAGGTGTTATACCCGGTTTTGTGGTTGGGGATGTGACTCAATCAAGGACAAAAGATGAGGGATGCAAATAGACTTATACCGATGAAAAACGAAAGAGCCCATTTTGTTACCTGTTTTGGGCTAGATTTGTTCCATTTTTATTGTCTTCGCAAGGGAAAAGTACACCAAAGGTCCCTCAACTTGTCATCAAGTTACAAAATCGTCCCGACCACAAAACTAGATATCGGCCGTCCCTTAACTAATCAAAATCGGTCACAGTAGGCCCTTTGGTGGTGTTGACCCCGGTTTTGTCCTACGTGGCGACTGAGTCAGCGTGGGACCCACGAGTCAGGATGCCACGTCATCTATCTCCTTCCTCCTCTCTCTCACTCTCCTCTTCTCTGGGCAAGCCGGCCGGCGGCTGGAGAGGAGGTCACCGGGTGAGGCGGGAGAGGAGGAGAGCAGCGCCGCGACGGCGGCTGGCTGCGGCCGTTCCATGGAGGCCACATCCCGCGTCAGCAACACCAACAACCACCCGGCGGCGACGACGAACCTTCTCGTTGGCGGCGACGACGCGGCCGTCCACGGGGAGACAGCCGTTGCTCGCCCCTGCTGCCGCCAGCTTCTCCTCCGCCTCCCGCGCCCAGGACGGCGACAGCCGCAGCGCACGCATCAGGCGGTCGCAGCGTTTCCATCTCAATGTTTCAGTTCCAGACAAACACTGCGATGGCGAGCACAGCGGCAGCAACAACAAGTGAGCAGTTCCCACCGGCGGCCATGGGGCCCGTCGCCGCTGCGCCGTTGCTGGAAGAACCGTCGTACTGGGCAGTGACAACCTCGAAACAGCTGACGATGCATACGACGAGCAGCACGAGCGCAATGACCGGCTTGGAAGAAGAGCGCTCCATCTTGTTCTGCTTTCGCTTGCATGTTCAAAGTTCAGAACTCAGAGCAGAGACGATACACTTGAGCATTTTGCTCAAAATGGCAGGATTTATATAGAATTGCTTGATGGAATTATCTGTGAATGTTGACATGGTAAACATAGTACATATGCACAATACAAGTTTGTCCTTTTCTCTCGATCGTGTTCTGCTCGCCAGGTTGAGTTGGGGTTGATCTGAACGGCTGGTTTGCTGTTGCATACTCGTCTGAAAAGTTCAACAAGCAGATGAGGTGCTGGCTTTGATTTTATTGCTGGTGTTCCTTCCTTTCTGCCTGTACCCCAACCACCCCGCTCTCCTCGAGGCGCAGCAGCCGTTCGCCTAAAAGGAAACCAGTACTAACCTCAGGATGGTGATGGCCGCGACAGCCTGATGCGTGCGCTGCGGCTGTCGCCATCCCGGCGCGGGAGGCGGAGGAGAAGCTGTCGGCTGCCGGGGGCGAGCAACGGCTGTCTCCCCGTGGACAGCCGCGTCGTCGACGTACGCCGACGAGAAGGAGAGCATCCCCTCATTCGCCGTCGCTGCGGGGTGGTTGTTGGTGTTGCTGGCGCGGGATGTGGCCTCCATGGAACGGCCGCCTCCCCACTGCGGCCGCCGCCGGCAGCCGTCGTAGCGCCGCTCTCCTCCTCTCCCGCCTCGCCCCGGTGGCCTCCTCCCCAGCCGCCGAACAGTTTGCCTAGCGCCGCTCTCCTCCTCTCCCGCCTCGCCCCGGCGGCCTCCTCCCCAGCCGCCGAACAGTTTGCCTAGAGAAGAGGAGAAGAGAAGAAGAGAAGAGAGAGAGAGAGTGTGTGAGGAGGAAGGGAAAGAGATGGCATAGCATCCTGACATGTAGGGTCCACGTAGGTCCCAGGTCCCACGCTGACTCAGCCGTCACGTAGGATAAAACCGGAGTCAAAACCACCGAAGAGTGACCGGTTTTGATTAATTAAGGGACGGCCGATATGTGGTTTTGCGGTTCCGGGACGATTTTTTAACTCCATGACAAGTTGAGGGACCTTGGGTGTACTTTTTCCTCTTCGCAATGGGGCTAGGCTTTTTCGTTTTTGGAGTGGCCCAGGAAGGTCCAAAACCAAGTGATGGCTAACCTGTTAGTAATAAGTCCACTTTGACTCCCTTAAACGTGGCCCGAATCTAATCCATAACCCTAAACCGTAAAACCGGATATCTCGACTCCCCGAACTATTGAAACCGGTGCAATTTGACTCCCTTGATGGTTTTGGAGAGTGGTTTCGCTAACATGGCGCTGATGTAGCAATGTTGACCTAGTATGTGGGTTGACGTGGCGCTTAGGTGGCATTTGAATTAAAAACGTATACGTGGGACCCGTTTGTCATTCACACATTAAAAATTGTGGGGCCCACTGACATGTGGGCCCCACATGTCATCCCCTCCCTCTCTTCTTCCTCCCTTCTTCCTCCCTTCCCTCTTTCTTTCTCTTTCTCTTCTCTCTCCTTCGGCCGGCCGCGGGGGGCACAGGACAGGCTGTAGCGGCGGCGGGCGAGGGCCAGAGCGGCGGCGACGGTGGGCTGGATCAACTACTGTGTACCGCGTCGAGCTCACCTTCCACGACGACCACGTCGTGACCTGCCTCGCCACGACGGCGCGCGGTGGTCACCGCCCAACGCCCCAGCGCTGTCCGTGGCGCGCACCACGCAGGCCAACGGCGTGTGGTTGTAGAGCTCAGGGGCGTGTTCCGCATCGTGGCCAGCTCGGTGCCCATCACGAGGGAGGAGTCGCGCCGTCGCGCGTCCACAACTACAGCGTCACCGACGACGACTGCCTCGTCCACCTCAACCTCGGCTTCAAGTTCGAGGCGTGTCACGCCCCGAACTAGTCCCGACCGGAACTAGCCCGTGACACTCCAATTTAGCCTGTTAATCGATACCAGTCCCAGGAAACAGTGCTGGTATCACAGGGAGACAGAATATCACAGCAACAGAGGTCTCTTTATTATAGAGTAGAAGTACAGTCATGTTGGGCTGCGGACAGATCCCGAGCTCACAACTGCATTACAAAAGGGAAACGGAAGCCAGGACTTGGACCAAACATCACAGGCGCGACTTGGGAACTAGGCCGAAACCCTAAAACTCATCGTAGCCGGCTTGCTCCTGGAAGAACTCCTCATCAGCATGATCCGCTTCATCTTCTTCAGCAACTGGGGGGGGATATTTATATAGAGCAAGGGTGAGTACGGGGGATACTCAGCAAGCCAGGGGAAATAAGTGTTTGATGCAGGCTTCAAGGGAAGGCTGTTGTTTTTGCAATTGATTTTATTTGAACTCTTTTATGAAAACAACTAAGTGAGTGCTTCTCAAACGACACGGATGAGACAGTGCGTCTCGTCCGGTCGGAGTATGTGCAATGTGTCAATCTTTAGGATTTAAACAAGGTTGGCACCCGGCCAACAGCTTTTTCAACGGCCACCCGGGCCAACAACTTTTCAAACGGCCACCCGGGCCAACAACTTTTCAAACGGCCATCCGGGCCTAGCTGATCCCATCAGCTGTAGATTTTTCAAACACCGAACCCCCTTTTCACACAGCAACTTCACAAGCAGTAGTCAAACCAAACTACGCTAGGAATCACCTCACATCCGCCCATGACCGTGGGCACGGCTGTTCGAACAGTTTGTTAACCTCTGCAGAGGGGGTACACTTTACCCACACGACATTACTAACCCGGGTCACCCAGCCCGTGGGGATCAGCCACGTCGGGAGACCTCCAAGCTTTCATGACAAGGCATTTCGAAAGCCGACACAGGTTTACCATATGCCGACGAGAGGGGTCCCAG